GGGGGTCCTTATTATAATTATAGTATTATCGGCCACAAAACCTTGTTCTAATTAGTAAGACCCCCACGTTACGTGCAACCTGTCATGTGTTTTTGCTTCTGTGGCTGCAGAGCTACCGGATGCACCCCAGACCTGTGAACTCATATAGAAGTTCATGAGTTTAAGGTTTAGGGGGTTTGTACAATTTTCAAGAACATCCCCTTATTGCCTCTCTGTAACTATGTTACAATATACCTGTGCCCCTTAAGAACTCTGAACCCTGAGCCTGGAAACCTAGAAGTTTTTCAATTCTAATAAAACGGCTCGCGTGCTCTCCAGGCCAAAGCACAAGCCACACCATGAACAGGTTTTCAGTTTAGAGTTGAACACCAGGAATCTTCACAAGCCTGCTTTGAGCGTTTAAGATTCGTGATCAAGCAAAATCCTAGGGCTTCAGGTTTGAAGGGTTTAGGGTGTAGGGTTTAGCTTGTTTCAAGCTTTGCCGCCCTAATGTAGGGGCCTTAATAATTAGAATAGGGCTTTGGGGCCCATTGTACTATAACTATATTAGTAAGGAACCCCCCCCCCCCAAAAAAAAAGAAAGAAAAAACAAATAGCATTGGTAATTATTCAGGCCCCTATAGCTACATTAAACCTTAAAGCCCCTGCCGCGGAGCAGGAGATCTATGTGTCTGTCAAGCTGATCGTCCAGAAGGAACCCATGGTGAGGTGGCCCGTGGTTTCTAGCCGAGGGCCGGATTTTTGGGGCTTCATTAGGGGTTTAGGGTCGACGGTTTCGAGTTTGGGGTCTAGGGTTTCGGGTTCAGGTTCTGGGGCCTAGGGTTTAGGGTCTAGGGTTTCGGGTAACCCTAAACCCTAAACCCTAAACCTTAGGGTCTCGGGTTTTGGGCTATAGGGCTTCAGCCCAGCATTTTGGCGCCAGACAAGTCTGCACCCAAATGCCATGCCTCAGCTCGATTACCCGAATTCCTATTGACGCAAGACCTTGGCATTTGGGATATTAGCAGTATGTTTAGCTATAGATACATACGAATAACTGGCAATGTATGTATGATGCATGTCGGTAGTTTTTGGGAAGTGCATACTGTAGCTTTTGAAGCACTTGAACCTGTAGGTCACCAACTCGGGTTGAGTTCCAGGTGGGAAGGTTTGGGGTCTCCTCAGGCCAGGCACCTTATGAAACCCCAAACCCTAAACCCTAAACCCTAAACCGCTTCTTGCAGGATTGTCTGGGTGTCCTTTATCACTTCCTGCCCTCTGGAATCTGCACTGGTTGACTTTTTGCGAGTGCAGAGACGTCGCTCAGGTACCTACTATATAGGGTACTAGAGCCTCTGGGGCCATATATAGTAGCCCCTAAACCCTCAAACCTAAACCCTAAACCTAGTCAACCTAGGTACCTGGGGGGGTCCGGGTTCGCTGCAGAAACTTCCTATGCAGGAACCCCAGTGACCCAAACGCAGAAATTGGAAACGACATGGAGATCCTGGTAGGCTGGTAGACGGCACACTGGATTATGTGTATATATATATACACATTTATTTATTTATGTGTTTATTTTTATTTAAAACTTGTTTATATGTGTATATATATATATATATATATCTCTATGTCAGCTGCTGCTCTGACACCCCTGAACTACGAAATGCCGCTAAACCTCCAGAAGTGGAAGCTCCTACACCTCTCAAGCTCGAAAACGGCTGTTCCTGAGGCAGTGTAATATAGGCCCGAACGGTTCTTCAAGATAAGATTGCTATCGTGGGTCTAAGGGCCATATTGTACGCTAAACCCTAAACCCTAAACCCTAAACCCTAAACCATATTGTACAATGCCAACCGTAAAACCGGATGTGTGGTGCGATGTGGCTCTCTGTGATTAGGAGTCATGCTGAAAACTTCATCAATTAAAAACCTGAATCCTTGCGCCCCAAAAATTCCCTAAATCCTAAACCCTGTATCCTTAACCCTTTAAACCCTAAATCCTTCAGCCTAAAAAATCCCCGAACCCCTAAATCCTAAACCCGATATCCTAAACCCCTTAAGCCCTAAGTCCTTAAGCCCAACAACTCCCTGAACCCGAAAGTCTTCGCGAAGGGTTCGGCCACAGCCGGCCCGAGCGAAAACAATACCCTGGTTTAGGATTCAGGGTTTTCCTGCAGAAGGTTTTTTGTGTGCTGAAATGTAACCCTAAACCCCTAAACCCTTAAAGCCCTAAACCCCTAGGCCCCAAACCCTAAACCCACTGAGGGTTTGAGCTCGAAAAATTCCAACGGCTGGATCGGTTACATGGCCTGAAGTCCACATACGTGCATCCCTAAGGGTCCGTCTACCCACAGAGGGGTCTGTAAGGGCTACAACAAGGGTTCTACAATGGTTGCCACAAGGTTACTGTGTAGGGGCTTTGGGGTTTAGTGTAATCCATATACCCCAATAGTATATACTTCGGCCTTATAAAGTAGTCCCTATATAGGTACTTTGGGGCCAAAGTGTATACTATATGGGTACATTGACCCTTAGGGTATAGACTGACGGGGCACTAATTCAGACCGTCTGATAGGACGCTTACTAAAACGAACCCCAGAATGCGGCACTGCTATGACAACCTCCGCCAGGCAGGAAATCAAGGTGTTGGAGGGCATGCGCGGCGTGTCAGAATACGTTTCGATTTAAGGAAGAGTCCTTAAGGAGTATTGCCTGGTATTGAAGCCCTTGGTGACTGCCAGGAAGGAAATCCAAGTTTTGGAGAACATGCGCGGAGTCTCGGATTCTGGGCTTTGGAGTACCATACTTTAATTCTTTTTTGGGGGACCTGTCCCTTAAAGGAACCATTATGAAATAAACGTCTATACTTTTTTCTCCCTGGTTACTTCAATGCCCAGGATTACTGCATTTCTGCCGTTGGTGAGCCGCCGTTCATCGACAACAGGGATGGGTATTGGATTATGCCGCTTTGGCCATGTGTTGGTTCTAGGAATCTACTGATCTTATGTGGATTCGCTTGACTGGCTCATATAGGTTTTAAATGTCCAGCAATCTGTTAATAACAGCGACAACAACGACATAACAAAAATTAAACGATCTCCGTGCGCTGTGGGCTCTCCGCCAACAGTTGAACTACAGCACCCAACACGCGCTCCCTTTCGGCGGAAGTCATGGTTCGACACCCACAGGGTCCTATGTGTCTTTATAGTAGGGTGTAGGGTTTCTATGTTAGGAACTACATGATTTTGAGTTGGGAAAGTATTCCCATATCAGTACATAGGACCCTTTGGGACAAAGACCGGGTGTGAATCATGCTGCTGGTGTGAAGTATACCCATACCTGGATGCCAAAAGTACGTAGAATAATAGCCTTTTATGGGTGTTGGGCCGCTGGTCTACCTACTTTCACAAACAAAGGAACTACAATGGAGACTACAGGTATTTTTTTGATTCCGTGAAGCCTGACAACCCCACATGCTCTATGAGGCCGTATGCGGCCGTCATTCTGCTTCTTTTGACATTTAGCCTTGAGCTTTCCAGCATAAACTCCTGAGGTTAAACTCCCTTCCTGTGGGTTCCTTGTCCTATACTATAATAGAACTCAAAAGCCCTCTTCTATGTATCAGGGCCTCTACATTACTCTGGCAAACTTCCTCCCTAAACCCTAAACCCTAAACCCTCTTCGAGTTCCTGAGCCTCCAGACCAGTAGCAGGTCCTTTGTCCTCCCGGGTTCCTCGGTCTCTGCGCCCCTGAACCCTAAACCCAAAGTCCTTGCGCCTCATGAACTACATGGGTAGTTATAAGTAGGGTTATAAGCAGGGTAACTATAGTTATACCCTACATTAGGGGACTTCTAACCCAACTTATAGCTACCCATGAACCTCCAAGTACGGGCAGTTCGCAGAATGCTGTTGGAGTGGGTACGTCCTCAAAGAGGGCTCCGGGCCAAGGATCGAGGTAAGCAGGCTAGGGTTGGGGGTTTAGGATTTAGGGTTTACCTTAAACTGCCAAACCCTACTTTTCTGTAGGTTCTTATAAGAAAGTCTAATGTGGAATTTATAGGGACCCTACAAGAAAAGTAGGTCTTGGTAGGTTAAGGTAGGGGGTAGAAGAGTATTCACAAAAACTCTTATACAGCGTTGTAAACGTTTAAAGACCCCTACGGGACCTTTTGTAGCTGCGTTCCGAATGTAGACAGTTTGGCCTATAGGCCACAATGGCAGGAGCCTGGCACCCAGCATTTAAACCCTAAACCTTAAACCCACTAACCCCAAACTTTAGACCCTTAACCCTAAACCCCTAAACCCCAAACTCTGGACGCTTGACCCTAAACTCTAGACGCCCTTAACCCTAAACCTCTAAACGTTCGTCGCCCGTTCTCTCCGACTCTAAACCGGTCCTTCCTAACGGCGTCAAATCCTACCTATAATGATGTGGTATGTAATATAGGCGCCATAGCTATTTCCAACACTATTTGGGGGGAGCTCCTTATTATAAATATACTGTAATGGGAACCAGCACCCTATTCTTATTATTAAGCCCCTTCATTAAGTGGTATGTACTTTTGTATCATAATGTATCATAGTGTTATGTATTCGTATAACATATGCTGTACTATACACTGTAGTTGTCACAGGAGTCGATTACATACCCTGTTGTCGGCTAAACCTTTAAACTCCCGCCCGAAACTTAACCCCTAAACCCTAAACCCCAACACCCCCCCTCCTAAACCCGAAACCCCAACACCCCTAAACCCTAAACCCCAAACCCCAACACCCCGAAACCCTCTTCGAGGATGCCATACATGAACGGTGGGGAGCTTTACGATTTCATGAAAAAGTGCCAACTCGCGCACGGGTGCCTCTACGGGGGCCAAGAAGGCTTCCTGAGGGGGTTTCAGGGTTTGGGGCACGCCTAAACCGCTAAAGTTAGGATACATATATATATATATATACACACACACTATGGCCCAACACCTGTAAAAGGCCATTATTCCACATACTTCTGGGGTTCAGGGCGCGTTTATTGATTACGGGTTATTTCCCGTGAATCTTGCCGGTGAGATTGGGAACTGCTATGCCTAAACCCCTAAACCCTACACCCTAAAACCCTAAACTCTAAAACGCCCTAAACTCTGCAACCCAGTCTCTAAACCTCTTGAGGGAGAGTTCTTGAAGGATCCAAAGACACGGAACCTGTGAGCCAGCTTTCATTTGTAGGGACCCTGAGGGTGCTACCGTATGCGTCTAGGGGTTTAGGGTTTAGGGTTTAGGGTTTAGGGTTTAGGGTTTAGGGTTTACCAAGAGGCTCCATGTATACTGCTTTTGCGGGTTTAGGGTTTAGGGAAGTTGGGGGTTAAGGGTACCAAGCAAAAGGGTCCATGTATATACTACTGTTATGGAACTATGTCCCCAAACCCATGGTCTTTTCAAACCCTAAACCCCAAACCCATGGTCTTTTCAAACCCTAAACCCTAAACCCTAAACCCTAAACGCATCTAAACGCTAAGCCCCATATAGGTAGTACCTATGGAGCCTCTGGGGCAGAAACAATTCAGAGTCTCAGTCTTGGTGCATCGGACCCCTTAAAGCCTCATAAAGTAAGGGCCTTAATAATTACCCTATACTATTTTAGGGGGGGGGGGGTCCTTTTGATAATTATAGTATAATGGGCCCCCCAAAACCCTATTCTAACTAGTAGGACCCCCTAATCAAGAACCCTATTATAGAACCCCCCCCAAAAAAAAACCCTAGTCTACTTGTTAAGGCCCCTACATTACACGTTTACCTCCCAAAGGCTAAAACCTAAACCTTCAAGCCGCAGCTCTCTTCCTGGAACTCCAAATGAGATGAACCTATGGCTTTGGGGGTTAGGGTTTGGTGTTTAGGGTTTAGGGGTTTAGGGTTCAACCCTAAACCCTAAACCCTAAACCCTAAACCCTAAACCCTAAACCATAATTAAATGCCAGCTCCAAACCCCAAACCCCTCAAACTTGCCTGTGAGGGGAGGGGGCCTATGATTTACTTGTAGATCCTAAGCTAGGCTGCGCCAGCTGCAGCACTAAGCCACACAGTGCCTTCAGCACCCTCTTAGCCCCGAAATCCGGCCTGAAGTCCTGAAGCCCTGCATAGCTTTAGGGTTTAGGGTTTAGGGTTACGAAACATAAAACCCCCCTGTAAAAGCCAGTACATACCCATTGAAGCTCAGATTATTCGATATCTTTCCAGCTGTTCTCGAACCATTGCCCTCGGATTTTGGATGGTTGCTTGTAGTCCCTCAAGCCGTAAATCCTAGTAGACAATTCGAACCCTAAACCCTAAACCCTAAACCCTAAACCGTTGGGGTGTAGGCCTCACCCTAAATCCCTAAACCCTCTTAGGCCTTTGAGGTTCAGCTTTTAGGGCTCGGTTTAAGCCTTTTAAGGGTTCCTTAAACGGTTCTATAAGGGTTACTATTAGGGTTTAGGGTTCATAATTTCTAGCTTTTAGGGCTCGGTTTGGGCCTTACCGAAGTGTCTGGAGCTTGGGCCCCCTGCGAATCTGGAGTGTCATATTTATATGGAAGTTTCCGAAAATTAGGGTACCGTATTCTGGGGTCCTGAAAATGAGGATCCTATTATTTGGGGTACTATATTAGGGTCCCCTATTTTCGGGAACCCCCATATGCGTGTATGTTTCTATATATATATATATACACACACACACATATGACACGTGTATATGCTTTGCGTATGTGTATATATATACACACACACACACATTCACATGTAATTAGATAGGCAGATAGATAGATAGATAGATAGATAGATAGATAATTCGGTAAATAGATAGATTGAGAAATGTGGGTCCGAGTCCAAGCGTGATACTTCTAGCGCCGACAACAAGCTGCATGTCGTCTTTCTGTGGCACCTTACGCCCCGTGACCACCCTTCGCCCCAGCACCCTTCTGTGCAGGCCGCAAGGACTGGACCCAAGTGGACCCTGCTTTCACCACGTCACCCGGCCAGGTTGCTCTGCCGTGTTGCGTACGCACATGGCACGAAGATGCCGAGTGTTCTTGTGATAAAAGGGACCAGCCCCAACCGCTCAAGCATCTGAACTCAGGTCCTACATCCTCGGACTCTTCCACGACATGGTTCAAGGGGTGCAGGCTCGGAGTTACGGGCCGGGTTTGCACTGCCCCAAGCGGTCCAAGTACCTAATAGCCATATACTCTCCCAAAACTAACCTACAAAACTACTGTCCGTAAACCAAGTACCTGATTATTAGGTCCTTTGGACCCTTAGGGTGCTGCCAAGCATTGAATTTTAGGGTTCAGGGCTTTTGTAAAACTTCCCGGGGCTTTGCACGAGGATGTCGGCTTTGGGCGCACCCAAACAACCCTAAACCCTAAACCCTAAACCCTAGCCCGAGGCTCTCCACGAGAAAGCCGGACTGCACCACATCGATCTCAAGCCAGCCAACGTCATGCTGAACTGTGAGGGGAGCAACAGGCGCCTCTTAGAGTTTAGCGTTTAGGGTTTAGGGTTTAGGGTTTTAGGGTTTTAGGTGGACAACACAGAGAGCAGCTGAAGAGTTTAGCAACCCAAAGCACCAAATCCATAGCCCTTAAGTGTCCATGTACCCAAATCGCAAATACTCTGGCCGTAGAGTAGTCTCTATATTACTTTGGGGGCAAAGCTTTTTTATATTATTTGGGCACACGCACCCTTGAAGCCCAAAGCCTTATCATAACCTTATAGAGCCCTTCTCTACCGTTGATGGTAAAAATCCTGCATCACCATATAAGGACCCCCAAACTATGGGAATTCTGGTATATTCTGATTATGGGTAGTCCCCTGAACCCTAACCCTAAATCCTAAACCCTGAACCCTAAACCTAAACCCTTAAGCCCTAAACCCTAAACCCTAAACCCTAAGCCCCTAAACCCCTAAACCCTAAATCCTCCACCCTAAACCCTATAAACCCTAAACCCCTAAGCCCTAAACCCCTAAACCCTAATCATTTATATCATCCACCGTAGGTTTTGTACCATGGGCCCTGGGGGGTTCGGAGCCCCAAAGGCCTCAGCCATGGTATCCCCGGCTCTTCCAAGGTCCCGGGCTTCCCTTAGGCCCTAGGGGTTTAGGGTTTGTAGGGTTTAGGGTCTAGGGTTTAGGGTTTAGGGTGTAGGACTTTCAGGGTTTTTAGGGTTTATAAGGTTTAGGGTTTAGGGTTCAGGGTTGAGGGTTGAGGGTTTAGGGTTTAGAGTTAAGGGTTTAGGGTTCCTACTATTATAATAATCAGGCTCCTTTAAGGGATCGGTAAGGCTTCTATAAGGGCTCTACTTGGAGGTTCATGGGTAGGTATAAGTAGGGTTGTAAGTAGGAAAACTAAAGTTATAGGCCTATATTAGGGACATAACTCCACTTATAACTACCTCCAAGTAGAGCATCCCAGAGTTGGACATTGACTTGGGGCAAAGGACGGTGCCCTCAGGGTCCACGCACCTAGTTGCTCCTCAGGGTCCAGGCGCCTACACAGTATATACTTTGGGTTATTTATTTATTGTTTCACGAGGCTGGTCCTTTAATGTTCAGCGCTTGGCATGTGAACAAACAGTTTTTCATTACCAGCCTATGCAGACTGGCACCCCCAGGTAAACCCTCACCCATGATCCGAACGAGCCCTACTTGCATTCACACCCTAATTACCATGTAAGCTCACCGTACAAGGGCTTTCAAGTTTAGGGTGCGGGGCTGTCGGCGAGCCGATGATGCATGGAAGCTCAGCCTAGACGCGCAGAGCTTTTTTGGTGAACCTACAAACTTTGCAGCACCAGTTTAAAAAGTTTAGGGCAAAGTGGTAAGGATTTGGGACTACGTGTTTAGGGTACATGGAGGTCCCTGTAGGGGTTTGTGTCTAGGATCCTGCCAACCATGGTCATGGTGTTGATCCCAAGGCTTCTGGAGCTCCCACTTCAAAAAGAAACTACACATAAAGAACTACCTATAGGCTCATACCCTGTCCCTTTCTTGGTCACCTACTTTTCTATATAGCAGACCCTAGACATGAAATTAGGTACCTTAAAAAGGCGGTAGGGTATGACCCTCCAGGTACTCTCCTCTCTCAAAGCCGAAGCCGACAGCACAAACGCCCTAACGCTTGCTTTAAGGACCAGACGACCCGGGGATAATGTAGCCAAGCCCTGTTCCAATCATTAAGGCCGCTATACGCAACCCTTTCAGCAACCCGTATTTTGAGGTTCATGGGTGGTTCGAAGTAGGGTTACAAGTGGGAAACTATAATTATAACCTATATTAGGTGACTGATAGCTACACTTATAACTACACATGAACCTCCAAGTAGCGGAACCTTATTCTAATTATTAAGGCCCTTTTCTTAGACCGAAAGCCCCAATCTTTAAACTTTCTAAACCTTAACCCCGACCTGGACCCCAAAGAAACTACCTCTTAAGGTCTTCTAGAAAGAAAGCAGAACAAGGAACCCTAAAACAGAAGGTTTTATAGGGTTGGGATGGAACCCTAAACCCTAAACCCTAAACCCTGAACCGTCACCCCTGCATGTTACCAAGGTGCTTTGCCGCGATAATCGACCTTGGCTTGGCGTGCGATCCAACGACAGACGGGGCTCCACCTTTTTCTAGGGGGGGTTAGGGTTTAGGGTTTAGGGTTCAGGGGTTTGGGTTTAGGGGGGTTAGGGTTTAGGGTTTAGGGTTCAGGGGTTAGGGTTTAGGGTTTAGGGTTCAGGGGTTAGGGTTTAGGGGGGTTAGGGTTTAGGGTTTAGGGTTCAGGGGTTAGGGTTTAGGGGGGT